GTGGAAAATTGAGAGTTTTATAATCACATCATATCTGAATATATATTAGCAATAAAACATGTTGTAAATTGTTTTCATGCATGTCTCAACACAAGATATTTTACTTGCAGCATGTTTAAATAGTTGTTCATCAAACTGGCCATCAAGACATTGAATTATTATTATCCTTACTCTCTGGTGATATTGCTCAAAGTGACATAAAGCCATACTCACTCACCGGTGCAGAGGAACGTTGCATAGCATATTTTCCTAAACAACTTTGAGAAATCTGTATATACATGTAAAGCGTTATTGATTGAAATATGCTGAAAGTTTCATGAAAATATTTTCATTTGTGTTTAGATATTTACTTCAGCAAATAATTGTATAATATATATTTATTTCAACTATACTGCACGATTTAGTAGATAACTGAAAATGCTTTTTGGTTTAAAATCGTGCAGTGGAGATGAATGATACGTCACACCCGTCTGTCCAGGGGCATCCCACAGATGCTCGATCGGGTTAAGTCCGGCGATCTTGAGGGCCAGGGGAGCACATCGATGTTGTGGTTCTGGAGGAAGTCTCTAGAGTGACGTGCTGTGTGGGTCCTGGCATTGTCCTGTTGAAACAACTCCCTCTGGCGATCAATGATTGGAAGAAGAAGTGGGCGTAGGATTTCGTCACAATACCGTTGAGCTGTCAGGTTGCCCTGGATCATCACCAAATCACTTCTCCTACGGCAGGTGATCGCTCCCCACATCATGACACTTTCCCGGCCGAATCTGTCCACCTGGGGAACGCAAGCGTCGGCGAAACGTTCACGTCGACGTCTGTACACCCGCATTCTTCCATCGCGTCGTTCCAATAGAAATCGTGATTCATCACTGAACCAGATTCTACGCCAATTCGGTAGGATCCAGGCCTGAACGTTGGTGCACCATTGAACTCTATGTCGACGATGTTGTTGTCGAAGCACAGGGTCAAAATAAGGTCTTCTGGCACGTAAACCAGCCTCTCTCAACCTGTTCCTGACGGCCTGTGCAGAAAGCCTCCTCAATCCGGGTATTTGTCGAGCGGTTCTGGTCGCCGTAGCTGTTTGATGACGCAGGTGATGTACCCGGATGTAGCGATCCTGCACCGCAGAGGTCGCTCGATGTCGCCCACTACGAGGGACATTTGCTGCCGAATTCCACCGGCGATATCTCTCCCAGAGCCGGGAAATGGTGCTTTGGTGAACATTCATGCGTCGGGCAACTGCACGTTGAGACTGGCCAGCTTCAAGGAAACCATGGCCAACGGTTGGCTTCACTTAAACGCGGCATTTTGCTTCCGTCAACAATATTCCAAATACAGTGAATAATCGGCAGACAGCGATCAACCTTTTATACCCATCATTGAGACTATCTGATCCCCAACTTTCACGTGCATTGCATGTGAATTGTGTATTCTGTGACACTACACGAAATTGAAAATCATGCTGTTAAATACGGGTATTTTACGGATGGTGTGTTTTGTTGTAATGTTTCAAAACATAAACTCATAGGACTCATAAACAGAGCAAAACCTTTTGTAAAATGAATCACGTTTTAATTCATTTCTACATGAAATTGCAATTTTCATTATGCGTTTCTTTTTTGGGAGAGTATATTTCTCCGGTATAGGGGTTGTACAAAAACGTTTGGAATTTCAGTTTAATTTTCTTCACCGCATAGTCTACACAAAGAGGGAACTAAAGGTTATGAACCTAGTAAACGGTGATATCTGCACTTTTTGTAAAACTGATCGGGAAGACTTAGCTCATGTTTTCCTTCAATGTGAACATGTAAAACATTTTGGGGTGACTCTGGGACTATTTCTGAATACCCACATTAATATGGGTATAACTCTGGATAGCAATGCAATTCTTTTTGGCTATCCAGAGCAATATAAATTGCTGAATCACCTGATCCTACTGAGCAAAAGGCATATTTTTTATGCAGTCTAAAGGGCAACACCCTATCAATGGATAAGGTTATACATAACATAAGACACGTTTATGCCATTGAAAGGTTCAGTGCTTGTGAGAACAACAAATATAATGCCTTTGAAAAAAATGGTCTCCACTCACAAATAGTTTTAAACTTTAAGTAGATGAATTACATTTAGATGTTATTTAGTATTGGCTTTCAACCACAGTTACTACTCGATGTAAACAATGTACAATCACTGAACTTGGTAGTTCAAACACACCTGTGCAATCTTAATCAGATAAATTATGTATGATTGTTGTATATTACTGTGACTACAGCTACTGAATGTCTTCTCTCTGAGCATTTTGTACCACCTCTGAGTCTTAGGATCCATAACCAGTAGATTTTTAGTCAGATAAACTACATCAGATGGTGTTTACTATTGGCTGATAGCTATATACGTACCTCCATGTGCAAACACTTTGCCTTTTTGAACCGTTGCAGGTCAAATATGTTTTCACATCTATAGTGAGATAAATTACACCTGATATGGTAGCCTATTAGATCATAGTCATGGAGTGACTCTTATTTCAGCCATTCTGCCACCTTTCAATTATTGTATTTTCAAACATGCTTGTACATCTCTAAGCTGACAAATTACATCTGATCGTGTATACTATTGTCTTTTGGTTTGCTATTAGCCTATAGCCATTGTCCCTTTCTTGAACTTTGGATCTCAAACAGTCAGATTGTCTGTCTATATTTGATTTTATGTATCACTGGCATACAACCTTGAAGTTTACATCCTCTGTCAGACATTGTGCCAATCTTGAACCGGTTTGTACCAGCTGGAGATAGAGTATATCTGGTTTTATACAGCAGTTTTATACAATACGGTATATCTGTACAGCCATAGAATTACTTCATTACACTTTTTAATGTCCATCTCCCTGAACTTTGTTATGAAGCTTGTACAACATGTTTGTACCCATGTGATTGTACCCATTATGCTGGAATAAAAAAAAAGGAAAGAAAAAAAATTATGAAGGAACGTCATAATGCACTATGAAGGAATGTTATACATGCAATCTTATGGAATGTTATACATATTAGATTAAGGGATGTTATATTGCAGTATTAAGTAATGTTATACGAATATTATTAAAGAATGTTAAACAAGAAAATGTTAAGGAAAGTTATAGATGCAATATTACGGAATGTTATACATTCAATATTAAGGAATATTATACATGCAATATGACGGAATGTTACACATACTATAGTCAGAAATGTTACACATACAGTATGAAGGAATGATGCGCATGCAATATGAGGAAATGATATACATACAATATAAAGAAAAGTTATATAGAGGATATTATATGAGCGCCCATGTCATACTATGTTTACGACACGAGTGCCTAAATGTTGGTATTTCCCGAGCTAGAGCGAGAGCGTCAAATTGAAGAAAATAAACCCAAATCTACCTTCAGACACAGACTGGCTACCCGCCGTCGCCGCATGCAGCACGCAACGTCACAGAAGAAACGTGACGTCATAGCCTTGTTCATGACGTCACCATGACAAAGTGATATATGAAGGAATGCTATACATGCAATCCCAAGTTATGTTATACATACAATATTTATGAATGTTATCAATGTAAGATGAGGAAAGTTCTACATACAATGTGAAGGAATCCTGTGCATGCAATATGAAGGAATGTGATAACGCAATGCAAAGGAATGTTATAATGCAATTTTAAGGAATGTTATACATGCAGTCATAAGGAAAGTTACCCATGAAATCTTATGGAACATATGCACGTTATATTAAGTAATGTTATATTGAAGTATTAAGTTATGCTATGCATAAAATATTAAGGAATGTTATGTATACAATCTGAAGGAGTGTTATACATATAATATTCAGGTATGTTATGCATACAGTATGGAGTAATATTATACATACTGTATGAAGGAATGGTATTCATACAATATTTAGGAATGTTATAATGCAATATGAATGAATGTTATACATACTGTATGAAGGAATGTTATACATACAACATTCAGGAAAGTTATAATGCAATAAGAAGGAATGTTATAATGCAACATGAGGTAATGTTAAACATACAGTATGAAGGAATGTTATGCATGCAATATGAAGAGGTGTTATACCTGAAATATAAAGGAATGTTATGCATAATATATTGATGAAAGTTATGTATGCAAGGTGAAGGAAAGTTATGCATACAAAATGAAGGAATGTTCTAATTCAATATGAAGGAATGTTATGCATACAATGTGATGGAATGTTATACATGCAATATGAAGGAATGTTATGCCTGCAGACTGAAGGAATGTGATATTTACAACATGAATGAATGTTCTCCAGACTATATGAAGGAATTTTATTATGCAATATGAAGGAATGTTATACATACAATATGAAGCTATGTTATATGCAATATGAAGGAATGTTATAAATATAATATGAAGGTATGTTATACATACAATATGAAGGAAAGTTATACATACAATGCATACGGAGAACTGTTATACGCGCAGTTGCACGCATGCACAACCGTCCATCCATCCATCCTTCCATCCATCCATCCATCCATCTACGAATTGTGCAATCATAAGGAATGGTGTACATACACTATCAAGGAATGTTATAATGCAATCTGAAGGAATGTTATGCATACAATCTGAAGGAATGTTATGCATATAATCTGAAGGAATGTTATGCATATAATCTGAAGGAATGTTATGCATACAATATGAAGGAATGTTACACATACTGTATGAAGGAATGTTATAATGCAATATGAAGGAATGTTATATATTCAATATGAAGGAATGTTTTAATGCAATGTGAAGGAATGTGATACATAGTTACAACGTGAAGGAAAGTTATACACACAATACATACGAAGAACTGCTATACACGCACATCCATCCATCCATCCACATACGCACACACACACACACGCACGCACGCATCTGAATATCTGATACCTCTGATATCTCTAACAGATGCTATTTTCACACTTCGTTTCCTTCCAGGTTGGTTACGCGCGACCCAGTTTTTTGAGACAGTCGGGTTGATCGCCATTGCCGCAGCAGCTGTCCTTCTGTTCCTGTCAATCTTCGTGCAGGCGCTCAAGAACAATAAGATCATCACAATCATCAACGCCTTAGCCTGCTTCGGTGCCTGTACGTGTGTATATTTCACAACCTACTTGATCCTCACGGACATATCTATTCAATTCTTAAGTGGAGTGATTCCAAAGAACAGTTGCTTCACACGACATAATGTGCGAGTGAGAACGGGTGGTTGCCTATGGCGATGGAGTCCGTTGTACTGAGTTGCGTCCCTTTGTAGTTCCAGTTGGCACTGTAACACCACATTGATCAGTGTCCTCGGGGTTCACCAAAGTGGTGAACGCTTTAAGTCTGCGTCATTGCGAGCATTTCTCATTCCAAACCCTTGGCACGCCGTCATGTAACTGCTCAAATCAGCCTCGTTAACATTAACCTGGGTATCAACATATGAAGGGTTATGGGCAAATATACTCCCATGGAGTGCCAATAAAAATGCTGATGCTTGAAGGTTGTAGAGTCACATTGACTTAAACGATGTATCGAGTTAAGAGAGTATCATTGTGCATGTAGTTGTTTCTCTTCAACATAAATATAAAGTTGAAGTCAAAACAAACGAGAAATTTCTAGAATGAATACGCAGATACGAAGCTTTTACTTCGAGAAATCGGTCAGTTCGACATAAAGGTGTTTGATTACATTTGTTTATTTCCAGGTGGAACAATCATCATCGGCGCGATCATCTACAGCAGTCATGATCGCTGGGTAGCCTTCCTCAGCTGGGCTTTCGCGCTGTGCATAGTGGGGGCAATACTGGAGGGCGTGGCAGGCGCATTAATCATAGTGGGAACGTTCGCTGCCGGAAGAACATTAGCGATTAGACCAGCCGGAGAAGTCTAAAAGTTATATGTCAAAATGATAGAGACGAACATTTCATGCTTTATGTTAAAGGATATTTGAATAAAACAACGTGTGTCTGGGAATACGTCTTCTTATGCGACTTGACAACAATTGATCATCCATTAACTCTAATATCGTGTCTTCTGTAAAATTTACAGTTGACTAGGAGTCATGACAGTTTTAGATAGCATGTTTCTTGTAGACATTTACCGGGTGAGAGTAGTAGTAGTAGTAGTAGTAGTAGTAGTAGTAGTAGTAGTAGTAGTAGTAGTAGTAGTAGTAGTAGTCTAATTCTCTGAAAAGATGAATCTGAGGTTTGAGTTTAGCGCCAGATGTTTTGTGTTTTGTTCTGGGTTTGCGAGTGCTTCCGACGATACCATTTTGCATTTAACTGATATACCTAAAGGCATTGGGCCGGTGATTCAATGCTGTTTTCGTGACAGAGTCATACCAAAAGAGGTTCTTGATGTTAAATATCTTGCCTAGCGCTAGTCATTAGTTGAATCCGAGTCAGTATGATGTTTCTGAATGGGACTGTGGAAACTGTATTGCCACATATTAAAATGTTTCTTCTTTAAAACAGGTTTTTACCCAAGTTCAAAGCCATATCGTTATATCATATTTGAAAGAAATTACTTTTATGACAAGACATAACTTTCTGCAAAAATATTCAGATCTTACATTTTCCGTGATATATGACTAATATTTCATATGTTCTTAATTGATAATATGATTGTTTTTATGTGCACATGATGATATTCATAGAACTTAAGAGGAACCCCTTTTTATGTCTGATAATAACGGTGTTAGGATCTACACGAAACGTCGCATCTATTACAATAAAAAAGACGGTGTCTATCCATAAAAACGTGGTCCTCTTCCTCATACCAGCTTCTAAATGCCACTGATAGAAGAAATTCATAGTAACTGTTTCGATTTTTTTGGTAGCGAAATCCTTGAAAACTACTGATGCGGTGTAAAACAATATTCATTCATTGATTTATCCTGAATGGGATATTTATGTTGTAATGCGTAATATGTCAGTGCACGCACACAGCGAACAGTGTTATCGATGTAATAAATAAATCCGATGAAGATGGCGCTTCGATCCGATAAATATGCAAATGGCGTTGACTGGCTGGAACTAGTTTATAACTCCCTACATCCGTGCAATTACAATAATTTTACTCAATATCTAATATGAAATATTTCAGATATGTTTTGATAAGGGTTTCCCATGTGCCATGTCGAGAGACGACCAAAACACAGTTGTTTCTGACGAGAGTTTACTTGTCACTCATCAAACACTAACGTCAAGGTTACACATTGTCGCACTTTCTGCAGTGACCAGTAATTATTACTGACCTGGGGGCCGTTGTAGAAAACAACCTTAGCTCTATTTGTTTAAAGATTACCGTAACTCCTTAAGTTTTAACCTTAGGCTTTTGCGAAGGTTGACATCCCGTTGCACAAATCTACCTTATGCTAAGGTAGCCTTAGTTCAGGTGAAAATTTAAGATTATTCCGAACCGACCTTAGTGTTCTTTCAAGTAGTTTCAAAAGGGCTACATTCTTGTTGATGGGTGAGGAAACTGGTATAGAAGCGTTATTTGGGGTAGAACGGTGTCGGGTATATTACCGAACAGCTAACGTGACTATGACACATCTAATACCTGTTGTGTTTCATTATATGAAGCAATAAGTAATATTCACAAAGAACCGTTCAGTGGGAATCATATTCACGCACAAAGGCAAGTAAATCCTGTCGACCAATTATTTTGCTAATAGATATTTCACATCGTCAAAATTTATTTTTTTACTCTTGCCGATTCGTCCGAACGTCCTTGTTCTATTCCGAACAGTCATGTCGGGCTATTCCGAACAGTCATGTCGGGCTATTCGTAGCCTAAAACCTTAGTTGTGGCCGAAGCGTCACTGCTTCGACAGATTATCGTTTGTTTTCAAACGTGTACAGCAGGTTGATAAACTCTTTCCTCGTTAGTGTGAGTAGAATATCAAATAATGCAAAGTTCTTTAACAGGAACGCGGAAAGTTCCTGGATCGATATGCCAGTATTTGTGACATATATGTTAATGTGTCTGCATATAATGACATTATCATCTAATGGAGGGTGTTATCGGTGCAATGAAACAATCTGATAAACTTGCAGTCTACTAGTAAACTTAGCCTCAGTATTATTCGTTACACTGCTATGCTGAAACTAACAAACCCAAAATGGTTTTTTGGATTTTCTCTCCGCCGGTCGCTGACATTGATCAACTAGTCAATTCGCTACCACTGACTTTACTAACCTGAACTAGAAATAATGGAGACCAGTGCGACAGCCTCACCTGTTTCATATTTAGATCTAAAGATTCAAAGTGGCAACACACTATCCACACGAGTGTGTGATACGAGCGTTGACCAATAGCCAAATTCCCCTGCATTTTGAACACTTATCCTGCATCCCCAACTTTTTTGTGTTTACATTTCTCAATTATTGACGTACACAGGAGCATGCCCTTGTCACTAAGATTTTAAATAGTCTCACGATTCTTTCTCAGAAAATGTTCAGTGAAGGTTACACCATTCAAGGCCTCAGTAAAGCTTCCGGAAAGTTTTATAGTAGACATGTAGAGGACATTTCCAAATGTGATGTGTTTGTGGCTAAAATTGTGTCAACTGTAATTCCCTATTTCACTTGTACCACAGGTGAACAGTTGAGTAGCCTTTGCATGTTATGGCTGGTGCAACCGGTGAGGCAGGGTACAGTCACCTGGCATGATGTCGTGGGATCGAGGTTCCTTGTGGAAGTGGAAAGGGTATTTATTCATATTCCATGGGTAGAAATAGAAACTATAGTAGCTCTTCATTTAGAAAAAACTCCCCTAAAACCCAACACGTTAAAACAACTAGCAACCGGTGTGCAAAATAGTTTCCAAATTTTGCTAGTCCGTCGGGTTAGCTATGCCTAACGTTACAAGCCCACCAAATAATTCACTAGCCCAAATATTGAATGTAGACGCGGGTTTCATCATTAAACTGCTAATATGAATAATTTATCAGTCCATGATCTTGCATGATTTGATAGTCTGTTATAACTTAGCAAGTCGATGAGAGTGATAAATTTGCAATATGACTCCATGAAGGTTCACTTGCCAGTCGGGCCAGTGACTGTTGAGATTCACTGGCCGACTGGACTTCTACTAGCCACGGACAAGCAGGCCAGTGGCTATTTCACACACTGCCATCAACCTGACTCCACCCAAGGCCCCCCTTCCCTCTCCACACCCCAGCGTTTAACACACACCCACCTCACACACGTTACACACACACAAACAGAAAACACGCAAATACCTTTCTCGAAGTTCTTTCATCCCAACAAACATCAGTGTTTTAAATGAATTATTTCAATGTTTGTTAAGCTTTTAAAAATACTTTATCAATTGTTTCAAGCTGTTATCTTAATCTACTTTTAGTGCTAATGTTCCTCAGCATAATTTTAATGTCGTCCCTATAGCTTCAAATCTTAAATCTATATTTATTTATTCATCATTTATCTTTACCTCATGTGTTGGGCGTTCTTGCCAGCTATTCTGGTAATATTTAACATATGCATGGGTGTTTTTGTGGTCTTATGTATGTGTTGCTCAATGTTAATATGCAACCGTGTACCGCAACTTCCCTTCGGGATAATAAAGTATTTGTGTCTTATCTTAACTTGTCCACCCACTGATGATAACATATTTAAAGATTCATTCCACTTGTAACAGTTCATATGTTTTGACGTTGTGGCCAAGAGGGAAGTTTCTTTTCGAGTTAGCTTACATTTTCCGTGATATATGAGTAATATTTCATATGGTCTAAATTGGTAAAATGATTGTTTTTTATGTGGACATGATGGTATTCATAGAATTTAAGAGGATACCTTTTTATGTCTGATAACGGTGTTAGGATCTACACGAAACGTCGCATCTATTACAATATAGAAGTTGTCTGTCCATAAAAAGGTGTCCCTCTTCCTCATACCAGCTTCTAAATGCCACTGATAGAAGAAATTCATAGTAACTGTTTCGTTTGTTTGGTAGCGAAATCCTTGAAAACTACTGATGCGGTGTAAAACAATATTCATTCATTGATTTATCCTGAATGGGATATTTATGTTGTAATGCGTAATATGTCAATGCACGCACACAGCGAACAGTGTTATCGATGTAATAAATAAATCCGATGAAGATGGCGCTTCGATCCGATAAATATGCAAATGGCGTTGACTGGCTGGAACTAGTTTATAACTCCCTACATCCGTGCAATTACAATAATTTTACTCAATACCTAATATGTAATTTTTCAGATAAGCGTTTCCCATGTCGACAGACGATCAAAACACAGCTGTTTCTGACGAGAGTTTACTTATCACTCATCAAACACTAATGTCAAGGTTACATCCGGTCGCGTATTCTGCAGGACCAGTAATTAAAGATTACCGTTACTCCTTAAGTTTTAACCTTAAGGTTTTGCTAAGATTGACGTCCCGTTGCACAAATCTACCTGATGCTAATGTAGCCTTAGTTCAGGTGAAAATTGAAGGTTATTCCGAACCGACCTTAGTGTTCTTTCAAGTAATTTCAAAATGGCTACATTCTTGTTGACGTATGAGGAAACTGGTATAGAAGCGTAATTTGGGGTAGAACGGTGTCGGGTATATTACCGAATAGCTAACACCATGACACATCTAATTCCTGTTGTGTTTCATTACATGAAGCAATAAGAAATATTCACAAAGAACCGTTCAGTGGGAATCATATTCACGCACAAAGTCAAGTACATCCTGTCGACCAATTATTTTGCTAATAGATATTTCACATCGTCAAAATTTATTGTTTTACTTTTGCCGATTCGTCCGAACGTCCTTGTTCTATTCCGAACAGTCATGTCGGGCTATTCCGAACAGTCATGTCGGGCTATTCGTAGCCTAAAACCTTAGTTGTGGCCGAAGTGTCACTGCTTCGACAGATTATCGTTTGTTTTCAAACGTGTACAGCAGGTTGATAAACTCTTTCCTCGTTAGTGTGAGTAGAAT